TCATACTAGCTACTGCATCGGACCTAAATCCGGAAATTACTGCTAACTGAACGGGCCGGCATTGTGGCCTTAGACTCGTTCCTACTGGAAGGAAACTCACCTCGTAAGCTGGCTGCTGAGTGTGTGGCTCGGGAAGCTAACGGCTGCTGCTCCTGAATCTCCTCGGCTACAAGTCCATAACACACTCAATCAAATACTAAACACTGCACTTGGGGTAAAATGACTCTTTTACCCTTGGTCAAAGTCAACTCTCTTTGGGCTGACTCGCCGAGTTGGGCCGCCCAACTCGCCGAGTCCTACTCTCACTTCTCAGTTCTACTCGCTGCTACTCGTCGAGTGTGGCATCGACTCGACGAGTACCCTCTTGATCCAAGAACTCAGACAATCTTCATCCGACTCGCCGAGCCGTATGAACAAACTCGACGAGTTGTTCTTGATCTTAAGAAGATTGCCTTGGACTCGCCGAGTTGTATGAACAACTCGCCGAGTCCCTCCATCACTGAGTCTACCCTCAACTCGCTGAGTCCACTCTCTAACTCACTGGATCCACTCGACACTGGTAAAAATGAAGGAATCGGGAACTCGCGACCCAACTCGCCGAGTCGTTCTTCCCGACTCGCCGAGTTGCCGCCATGCAACTGATTTTTACTCGATTTTGTCTGAATCCAACACATACAATTGATAGATCTGAGTCCAATAAGCTGATTTACCACGTAAAGTTTCCAACTTTACGTGTACAACCTCATGAATAAGGGAAATAAGGCTAAAAGATGCATAAAATGGGTAGATCTATGGTTAATATGCAAAGTAACTCCAAAAAGGTAGTAGATCTAGGCTCTACAACACCCAATCATTCAGATCTAAAGATATCTCGACTTATTAAGGCATTCATGCAAACATAAGGCTTGGAACAAGCATCAACTAGATCTTAGAAGAGCTCTAATGGAGGTTTAAAGCATATAACAAGAGGGGAAATCCGAAAATACCTCAAATAACTCAGATTTTCCCTTGGATCTTTGCACTACAACTCTTCTCCTTGCTCCTTATTTCTTCTCCTTCTTCACACCTTCACAAAATGGCACAAAAACACTTATAAGCTCTCAAGGTGGATTAGGGTTTTTCTCACAGTGTTCTAAGGGTGAGGGAGGCGAGAATGGGGCTATAAAGTGACTTAAATAGTGGGCAACCCGGGGATTTAGGGTTTCACCCAAACGGATGGACTCGCCGAGTCAGGCATATGGACTCGCCGAGTCCCCGGCTCACGCGTGCTCGAAGTCGCGACCCTACTCGGCGAGTCAGGCTATGAACTCGCTGAGTCCCTCTTGAAAAACTTACAACAATTACCAATGAATTAACATACCGGAAACGGGTCATTACAGTTTCCTTCAAGTAGGAACGGGTCTATGGCCACAATGCCAAACCGTTTGGTTAGTAGTAGTTTTCGAACTTCGGTCTGATGCAGTAGTTCAGTGTGCTTGATGTCTTTGTGATTCAAGTAAGTTTTTGTGTTATGTGTTCCGGACTTCGGTGCGAAGTGGTATGTAGTATATGTATTTATGCTAGTAGTTATGATTATGCTATGCTATGTTCACCCAGTTAGTTCGGACTCCGGTCCGATGCAGTTAGCCGAACTTCGGTCCGATGCAAGGGGTAAGGCCCCAGTTAGTCCGGACTCCGGTTCGATGCAGTTAGCCGAACTTCGGTCCGATGCAGGGGGCAAGACCCCAGTTAGTCCGGACTCTGGTTCGATGCAGTTAGCTGAACTTCTGTCCGATGCAGGGGGAAAGGCCCTAGTTAGTCCGGGCTTCGGTCCGATGCAGTTTCCGGATTTCGATCCGATGCAGGGGGCAAGGCCCCAGTTCGTCCGGACTTTGGTCCAATGCAGTGGGCAATGCCCAATATGTGCTTTATATGTTATTGTATGGTATGTGGTACACTAAGTTTCGTGCTTACAGTTTTCAGTTTTGGTTTCAGGTACTTCCGGTAGCGGAGGGAAGAGCTCGGGATGATCGCATGGCACACTCCATAATTAGTCAGCCTGGGATGTTTCACTCTGATAATAAGATATTGTTTTGAATTAATACTCTGATTGTATGTTAAGACTTATGTTATGGTTGACAATCATGGTTTAAGTAATGTTATTCAAACGAAATTTTTAGTCATGATTTTTGGGTCGTTACACAATCATGGGATGCCATGCATACGCTTCTAGAACCTCCATCTTTTAGAGACATTGTATTGGTACCATCAATATTCCACTAGCACATAAGGTGTCGTTGAGTGTCATATCATGTCACTTAGTGATATATCTTATCACTTTGGTGTATCTGATCACTTGGTGGCATATCATGTCACCTGGTGGTATATCCTGTCACTTGGTGGCATATCTTGTCATTTCGTTGCATCTCATGTCAATTTGGCTTATCTTATCACTTCGTGGCATATCTTGTCACTCGGTGACATGTCAATTCACTTGGTGGCATATCATGTAAGTTGGTGGCATATCAAATTTCCAAAGTGGCACATCATGAAGCATGAGACATCATTGATGCTCCATTCTCCTTCCTGATACTCCACTCTTACACTAAATGCTCCATACAGATCCTAAGTGCTCCATGTTAGACAATACTTCATACCATAACATTTGGACCTTGAGCTTTATCCGTATCATAATCTCATACACTCCGTTTAATCTAATGTGCAAAAACGGGTCCTGAAGAAACTCCCTAAGATTAAAAAAATTACGAGTTCTATTACTAAATGGTAATCCGTTGGGTATTTTACATAGATACTTTTTTTTCGAAATTTTTAATGGGAAAATTGGTATTGTTCTAGTAGTGTAAATAAGCATAGTCAAAAACTATTTACTACATATAGGTAGACGTAGATGTTTTTGATTGGATGCGTTGTAATTCACTTAGACATCTTCATTCTACGTAATTTTTTATATCAAATTCATCATGAGTGGTGCTTTTTATCGTTATGGTATTTCTAAATTTCATTTATAATCTAACTATTAAAAAACATATCTCTATCGTAATAAAAAAAACATTTTGTGTCAAATGATAGAATTCTACTTAATTTTTTCGCGCCCATTTGACATTCAAGACTTTTATATAGCCTTTCTGTAAATAAGTATGTTAATTAACTTATTTAATTTAAATTCAAATTCATAAATAATAGTAAACATGGTAATTCAAATAACAATAGCTTATAAGTTTAGGCAAAAAGCCACATTCAACCTCATAATCATTGAAATTCAAATAAATTTCTTTTTGTTATAAAAATTAATAGGTGTGAAACTCGTATATTATACGAGTTTATTAAAAAAATATTTAATGCAAATGTATAAATATTAAATATTTTTAAAAAAAATACTTTTATATAAATGCGAATGATATAATAAATAAGTAAGTAATTCAATGTATACTAATAAAAACGATTGGCATATTTTAAATAATGATGTTAAAAATTAAAGTGTAAATATTAAATATTTTTTAAATTAACTTTCGAAATAAATACAAACGAAATGATTAATAAGTAGTGATTCAATCTATACTAATAAAAAAATTATTGATAAATTGTAAATAGTTGTTATGAATCAAAATTTTTAAATACTTTTTTGAAGATAGTGCTCTTTTTTATTTATTAGGTTAGAGATAGAGATGTATTATACATACATGTTTATTTATGAAATTTGAATAAATAATAAATTTGTTAGAATTCAAATTAATCATAAAATACACCACATTAATTGTGTCATTAGAGCATCCATTTGAATTCAAATGTATTTGCAAATTTATAAAATTTAAATAGCATGAATACTTTACATATATAATAGTAGACACATTAATTAGTGGAATTGATTATTGATTAATAAAAAAAGATACTAAAGAATGACATATGGAATTTAAATAATTGTAAAATCTCATATAATAAAATGTGACGAAAGCTTTGAGAAAATGACAAGTGACAAAAAAACCTTCATTTATTAGAGTGGATGAGGGTACATGCGTGATTCTTCTTTAAATCTCTTGCAACTAAGAAGTTTCAACACCTCCGATATAATTTTATTCTTAAGGGTGTGTCATATAATCATATTCAAACAAAACAAGTACATTTGCCAAAGAAACCTTTCATATAGTTCAAGATAAGAGATAGATGGTCCCACTTTACAAGTTGAGATTTTGGAGAAAGAGAAAGAACATATGGAAGAGAATTCAAAATTAGATGTTAAGAAGATGTCGAACATGAGCCCTGAAAATGGTATGATTCCATTTTCTCTATCATTTTCTTAATACTTTTTCTATTATTTTTTTTTTTTTTTTTTGGAGTGGAGATGAATTTTGAATCACAATTTGGATTTTCCAAATTCAAGGCTTTGATTGTCCATGCTTGAAGAACTTGTTGGAACAACGTGTTTATGCTCTAGGAAAAAAACATCAAAATTATTTTAGGCAGCCCTATGGAGAACACGGGTTAATACCTAGTATATATTTAATTGGTGTGTATAAATTTTGTCATTTTCAAATTTCCATAGTACTTTTTCACTTGCTATTTATTAATTAACTCGGTGTAAGATCTGTGTATTACATAGACTGATTAAAAAAATATTAAATAACAAAGTTTAAACAATAATTATTTTTCAAAAATAAAATTTCGAAATAAGAAATAAAGAAAGTTATTTACTATCGTATTTATTATATTTAGTAGTTTACATATATAATTATAAGTATTATGTGGCTTTTTAATTTTAAAAATATTATAAAATGATAAATATCAAATCTTATGAAAGATTGACATATGACAAAATGGATCTTCATTTATTATAATAGATGGTCGATGAGTTCTTGATGTCAGGTTCAAACAAAAACACTATAACATATTCACATGAAACTTATATTTGGTAATAAAGCATTGTCCCATTTTACAATTTGATCAAATGTTTGGAAGGGAATATAGTTTCTCTAAAGATCGGGTGAACATTCAGTATGATCATATCAAGGCTTGAATGCAGAAAATGCTATTACTGAGTTTTGTCCACCAAAACCAAATGAATTTGAGATGGCTGCATCCAAGAAGAGTTTCAATAAGCAAACTAAATTAAAATCGCAGTTGAAGCATGGAGAAAAAGAAACAAACTCACCAACGTTGATTTCATGTTGTTGCTTTTCATTTGCAACAGTGTCAAATTCAACTGTAGGTTCTGGGTTCTACAATTGCAATGAGGAGATGAAGATCATCATAGTGGAACTATGAAAGGAAAAGAAAATTTAATATAATGAACAAGCACATACAAATTGATTAATGGTGGGATGCAACCATCCTGTTTGAATCGCTTTGATTGTAGCAATGGCTTCCAAACCTCCAGATGCTCCCATACTGTGTCCAATTATAGACTGAACACAAAAACAAGAAAATAATGTCAATATGTTGTTGATACTGATTACTTAACAGCCAAAGCAGACAATTAGCTTCTTCACCTTGGTTGCATTGATTTTGATCCCTTCGGTGTTCTTAAACACCTTCTTGAGAGCATTGACCTCAGCCTGATCCCCTACCACGGTTGAAGTTGCATGTGCATTGATGTAGTTCACCTACAAGATTTTGTTCGACAATATAAAGTACACGTTTCTCTAAAAAAAATGACAAAAAGTTGACCTACCTCCTCTACCGATACACCAGCATCTACAAGGCTGTTTTGAATGCAAGATGAAACCGAGAATCCATCATGTAGCGGATTAGTTATATGATACGCATCACAATTTACTGCACCTCCTAAGTATTCAGCAAGTATTGGTGCACCCCTTTTCATTGCATGGTCTAAACTTTCCATCACCTTGAAACAAAACAGTTCAACATCGACATATCACATATGCAAAAAGATATGGGTAGTTTGAAATGATCAATTCATCAAACATGGGTGGAGAAGTTACCAAAACACCAGCACCTTCGCTCAAAACAAACCCATCTCTTTCTTTGTCCCATGGTCTAGAAGCTGTGTGGTGATCATGGTTTCTTCGAGACAATGCTCTACAAGCAAAAAAACCTCCGAATACCAAAGGAATAAGTGGAGCATCGACCCCACCTGCAATCATCAAATCAGCCTTCCCCAGACGGATATTATCAGCAGCAGCACAGAAGCAAGCGTTGGATGTGGCACAAGCAGCTGAGATGTTGTAGTTTGGTCCCTTAAAGCCAAGATGAATTGCAAGAAGAACTGCGGCCATGTTTGTTTGAAAATAAGGAATGAAAAATGGTGTAATTTTCTTGTAACCCCTCTCTGTGAGAGACTTCGCAGCATTAGAAAATACTGTGACGCCTCCCCCTGCTGATCCAACAAGCACACCAGCACGTTCCTTATTAATCTGCATGTACACATATAAAAAATTTTAATATTTTGAGAAAAAGATAAATTTACAAAAATGATTCATGCCTATGTATTTTTTATTTTTCGTCCAAACCTGAACTTTTTTGACAATCCTTTTGACCATGTTTATGATTTTCGTCCGTTGGAAAACTGAAAGGACTAAATTGCTCTTATAATATATATACTTTTTTATGTTTTTTCTATTTAATTTAAAGTTTTATTAATTAGAAAATTTGAGGAACACCCAAGAACATATTCATAGATTCAAGAACACTCAAGAACATCGTCCGTCACTACCATCGTTCGACAACCATCCTTGCCACCACGGTGAGCCACTACCACGGTCCGTCACCTTTATCTCCACCTAAACCTTTTCTGCAACTTCATCTCCGCAAAAAAATCATCGCAGAAACAAAATCAATACACAAAATATGGGTTTGTTCTTAAGTTCGTCCCTGATTCGATGATACACACACGAAATCAGATATGATGAACACGCACACAAAATTAGATCAGATGAACACACACATACACACAAATAATCATATGAATACACATACATACACACGAAATCAGATCATCACTCCAGCAAAATCGCACCCCTTCATTCTCTTGGAATAGATTGATTTTTTTTCTTCTCTTTTAAAATCGACATCAAAACACTCGAAATCAAAATCCTTGATAGTTGTAGTTGTACGTTGCAGATATGTAGGGTTGAGTTTTCTTACTTTGAATTCTCAAGAATAAACCCCATAATCAAATAGAAAATTGTATATGTATGTTCTTGAGCTTTTTTCTGCCTGTTTAGTTGAAAAAGTAGTTGTGTGTTGGTGTGTGGAATCGAATCTGAAAACTTCGTATGTGTGTACGTGTGAATTCGAATCAGAAAACTCAAATATTTGTGGGTGTATTTGTGTGTGAAGTCGATTCTGGATAACAAACATATGGTTGTGTATTGTAAAAACATGTTTATGTCAAGCCATTCTTTGGTGGATCCGAACTCTCTTTCTTCTCTTTCCTCTCTTTAAGAACAAAATCAAAATTGAACATGTGAGTTTGTGAACAAAGGGGTTGCTTTGGGTTGATCATATATTGGATACGATTTTTGTTCGTGGGTGTTCATTAGATTTGGATACGATTTTTGGTGAAAAGGGGAAGAAGATGAAGAACACAAAATGATGATGGTGTTTGGTGATAGCTTTAATGGAGTTTGTGGCAGGTAATATATATATATATATATATATATATATATATATATATATATATATATATATATATATATATATATATATAATATATATATATATATATATATATATATATTAAAATAGGTATCAGAAAATTAGAAAAATAAAAATAAAAATCTATAGTAGTCATTTTTATTTCTGGAGGGAACTTTCCACATAAAAACATGACGAAAAGGACCACCATTCTAAAAAAAAATCAATGTTTGGTAGAAAACTTAGAAAAAATATTACCACAGAAATCATTTTTGCATTTTGTCTTGAAAATATAATGCTACGGAGTTACATGCCTTGAAGAGTTTGTGGCCTCCAAGACCAGCATCTTCAAGAGCTTTTTTCCCAGCAACAAGGCAATACCGTTAACAATCATCAAGTCTAGAGTCGCTTTTTGCATCAATATACCCATTTGACTTAAATCCACGAATCTGTCCACTGAATCGTGTTGGGAATATTGATGCATCGAATTTATCTATTAAACTGATTCCGCTCTCCCCAGCTAAGAGACGATCGTAGTATGTGTCAACATCATTTCCAAACACAGAGACGAGACCCATACCTGTAATGACGACCCGTTTTTTTGCATCTTTCTCCCGCTTAGGGGCTGCGCCGGAAGAGGGGTGGGAAGCTAGTAACACATGGCGGAATGTGCGGCCCAGACGTGCTGGTGATTTGAATGTGGTGGATGAAGAGCTTTTGGGGAGAAGGAACAAGGAGGGATTTTTTAACAGAATAATATGTTGAGTTTCCATTGTTGTTTAGAATATAATGTCTAAAGATAGAATGTATGATACTTGGACATGCATGCATGGTATATATACACACACAGCGAATGTATATGTATTGCAAAAAGAAGGATTTTTAAAGAATAAAGACACACCCCACACTATTTTCCAAGTACATCCTAATCTGAGTTATAACTCATTTTTATTGGAAGTCGTTTTTTAATGACTTTTACTGCTTTTTATAATGAGTGTGGTGTTATTGAGACATTACCCATCGCATTCTCAATTTAAATTGAGTATGTCAATTTTTTGCAAGCCCAAATTGACATAATTAATACCATGCACTTTGCTTCGTGCAAATGAATTTTAATTACCAATTCATCTTACATCTTGCAACATGTATCTTGCAACTTGTGAAAGCATTACACACTCCATCACATTATTAAAAGAGACACCTCAAATTATATATATATATATATATATATATTATATATATATATATATATATATATATATATATATATATATATATATATATATATATATATATAAATTAAACATATTTATACTATAAAACAACATATTTTCTTTGTCATTATCACAGAATAACATTATCCATACGTCCGTACAATAGATGTCAACCCACATTTGAACACACACACAACATATATATATATATATATATATATATATTATATATATATATATATATATATATATATATATATATATATATATATATATATATTGAAATGTGGATTGACATCTATTATGCGGACGTATGGATAATGCTATTATGTGATAATGATAAAGAAAATATGTTGTTTTATAATATAAATAAATTTAATCTTACATAACTATTGTTATTCTTACTAATTAAATCGTTTATAAGGTTATTATAGATTTTTCTATTATTATTGTCATTCTGTCAAAATAAACGTTTGTTGAGTCGTATTTTGTAAGAATGAAAATGAGGGAAAACAATATATACAAAGAAAAATGAATACGAATTAATGACAATACTTGAAAATAACAATAGTTGTATAAGATTGAACGTAGTCAAATTACTAAACAATTTATTCTCTTATTAATTCTCATAAATAACACTATTCACACGTCCACACAATAATTATCTATCTACATTATAACCTAGCCATATTATATATATATATATATATATATATATATATATATATATATATATATATATATATATATATATATATATGTCTAGGTTATACTGCTTCTTACATCTATTGTGTGCCATAATGTATAGATCTGGACCATCGGATGGAATATAATCATTGGTCATGATTTGATAGTTTATGATATTATAATGGGATAGCATGTATCATATAACCATGCAAATTCAGCATAAGGGTATTTTGGACAATTAACTTTATTTAAAAAAGGAAATTTTTGGATTTTTAAGGATAATTAATTCTCCTAATTTTAAAAGTCTTTATTTTTTTATATTAATTCCATTTTAATTCTAATGTAATTTGTACACATAACCAATTTTATTCCGTCAGAATATTTTTTTGTTAGAATGATGTTCTTTCAGAATTTTATTCTATTAGAATATTTATGAAGAATAACATAATTTATGAATCTCCGGTTGAAAAATAACAACATTCTAATATATTCACATATATTCAAATTTACATTCAAATTCTTATATATTCTAAGGGACTAATAGTCTTATACATTTTAATATAATTATACATATTCTAAAAGAATATTAATAAAAATGAATAAAAATATTAAAAATAACAACATTTTTAAAGTGTGAGTGTGATCAAACTTTTATGCATTATTGAAGTTATTCCTATCATGTCTTCAACCAATTCTTCCAGCCATTCCTATCACAAATACAAAAAAACGAAGAATGGTTAAAAGTATTATGGCAGAATATATAAAATACATTCTAACAGAATACGTAGAATAAATTCTCCTAGTTATAACAAAATACATAGAATACAAATAATTTCTAACAGAATACATCACAAAATACACTTAAATCATATTATTTTATTCAATATGACAAAAAAAATACATCACAAAATCTTTTTACTTTTCATATCTTGACAAATAAGAGATTGAAATCTAATTTTGTCAGAATAATAGGAATCAAATTGATGAGTGTTACTAACCTCATTCTAAAAGAATATTGTATTTTCTCATTCTATAAGAATTTACAGGTTTAAAATAATATTCATTATAAATTGTATTTGTAGAAGACCAATCTTTCAATGAGTTCCCTTTAAGAAAAAGACTAAACATGTCCTGAATGAAGAAACGTGATAGGAGAGCAAGAAAAAAAGTCATTACTTATAACCAAATACATCATAAACATGCCTTATTATGGATATCCCAATTCATTGCTATACATTTAAGTAACACCATTAACCAATTTAAAATTCTCTTTGGGATTCTTCAAGAATTTGAACATCAAATTCTTTTTCAGACATTTTCACAAACACCTATTGTGCAACATATACAGATAACAGATAAGCAAAGATCAATTATAAAGCAACGAAGATAATTTAATTTGAACAAATATACAATACCTAATTTATAGTGTGTAACATGTATAATGGAAAACAATAAAAAAGTTTAAGGGAAAACATGTTTTACCTGGTAAAAGTTTAGAAACCAGAAACAGGGATGATTCAACTCAATCGAAAAAGACAGTAGATCAATATGAGTGCCGATTGAAGGAGATAGACATCAGGTTGAAGAATTAATCGTTGTCGAGTGATTGGATGGCTACTGTTGGGTTGAGATCGTCAGATGCAAATAGGAGTACGGTGGTGGAAATCAGGCAAAAAATATGAAAATTGGGAGAAACGTGATCGGGGGAGTCCATACCATACAGGTGCCGATCGAAGAACACTAAGATGGATGCAAAGAGGGAAACAAGCTCGATTTAGCAAAGTGTAATGGCCGATGGTGGCGCCAGTAGCCAAAGGGAAGAAGGACGATAGCGATGGTGGTGGAGTTGTCTGGTTTTCACGCTGCTGGTGTAGTCGTGTTATGCCACTTATGAAACAACTTACTTGCTTGATTTCTTTCTATGTTACGATCGATGTACAATTGGGTGAAAAAGAAGAGCAATCATGTAATATAAGAGAAATATTTGGTCAAATGTATTTATTATGTTTCCTTAAGTGCATAAATTTTATTAAATGATACCATTAATTGAAAGTGCAAAAAACCAAAAATACCCTTTTATATTTATTTTATTGCAAATTTCTGATTGGTGCATTTATGAACACAATACTTGTTAGAAACATTTGAACCTAGCTCTCTCTCTATCTCTCTCTCTTTATATATATATATACATATACATATATATATATATATATATATATATAATATATATATATATATATATAAGTTCTTTTTATGTAAGTATAGATATATGATTAAAACCTACAAACAATTATTTATTTACATATAACTTTTTATCAAATAACTAACAATATAATATATTAATATTGATGATTAAATGAATAATTTAAGCTTCTAAATAATTAAAATATTTATAAAATAGTTATTGATGTGGAGACCACTTTCTATAGCATATTGGTAGTCCATGTGAAAGGTAACTGCAAATATAAATGGTCTAATTTATTGATGTGGAAAGTCTTGCAAACACAATTAGGTATGATTCTATATTTTTTTCATTTATTATTTCATATATTTGCATAAAATTTTATTAACACATTCATTTATATAACTACTAAAAACAATTAATAGCCAAAAATGAAATTTTTAGTAATCCTTTTTAATAAATCAAAATATTTTTTCCATATGTCATTGTCTCATTCAGTAGGACACATAGCATTTTCTAATATTTTTGAATAAATGTTTTTACATTTGTCATTTTTTCATTTTTTTTATCTTTTATTAATTAACACATGACATTTACACCTCAACTAATAATTTCCTTAAATTAAAATAGTTAATAAATTACAATATTACTAATCATATATTGTATTTAGTATGTTTCTTTTTAAATTCAAATTTTAAATTTGAAATTTAAATAAATTTTTGTTTAAACCTTCATATTAATTTTTTTTACCCAACCAGTATAGTATATAGGTCTCACAACTAGTAAACAATAAACATACATAGTAAAAAAAAGAAAATATATGGATACTAACATTATAAGATCATATGTTAATGATGTCTACTTTGAAAATATGTTATGATCTGTAAAGATGAGTGATATTGCATTCTTATGGATGGTCTTGCATGCGATTATTTTTCATCAAAACTCATAAAACACTTGGCTTCTGTGTTTGGAAGAGGACAACATCATCACATAAAAAAATATTCTTACATCACTACCACATTATCACCATACTAACAACACATGTTACTTAGGAAACACACGATATCATCAAAATATTTTACTTTTTAACTAACTAAAGAATATTTATTTTTGATAATTTAATACAACCTTAAAATTCAAATTCAAGTAATCTGAAAATTACATAAGAAAAATAAATCTTGTAAAAAAGTATAATTCAAAAATAAAGTTATTATTAATCCTCGTCGGCATCATTTTGATATAAATGTAATGTTAAGTCTTGTCGAAGATATTTATATTCTTTCTAGAATAACAAAGTGTTATAGCTCAAGACTGACTATTCAAGTTTAGCTCAAACGAAGGACTTTCTTAATAGATCCGAGTAAATTTAATTTGTGTGAATTATATTGTTAAGTACATTTCATGCATTCATTTTGTAGTTTTAGTTCAAAAAAGTGCATTGCATTTAGGTTTAAACTCATGCGTTTTGCATACTTTTCGGGATTTTTCATCATTCAATTCCATTCACACACTTTTGTGATATTTCAGGGACTTTTGAAGGTTGGATTTTGATGGAGGAAGTTAAGAAGAGTTCGATACAAAGTTTCAGAAGTTTTGGAGCATTGAAGAAGAGAGAGAATGAAGAAATAAAGAATTTGGTTTCATAGGAATTTACACGGCCGTGTAAATGATAGCTTAGAGTTTACAC